CTGGCTCACACCTCCCCCACGCATCTCCCCATGGTCCCAGGCCACGGGCTGACTCACTCCTGTCCCCACAGGAGAAAGGGGCCACGCTGGCCCAGGTCAGAAGCCAGAAGGTCCAGGACATCTTGGCTTTCTACCTCAGCCGCCTGGAGAGCGGCAACAGGGTGACAGACACGGATTTTGAAACTGGGAACTTCTGGATCGGTGGGTGAGGGAGGTGGGCAGGGTGTGTGGGTGCTGGGGTGGCCGGGCAGCTGTGCCACCCCACCTCCCACTGCCCCAGGGCTCACCTACAAGACATCCAAGGCCTCCTTCCGCTGGGATGTTGGAGAACCCTCCTCCTTCACCAGCTTTGCCTTCGGGCAGCCGGACAACCAGGGGTAAGTGCTGCCTGGCTGGGGGACACACCTGCCCTCCGTGTGGTGCCACCACGCTGGCTGGCCTCACTGCCCTCCCCACCCCGTGGAGCCACAGGTTTGGGAACTGTGTGGAGATGCAGGCACTGGCTGCCTTCAACTGGAACGACCAGCGCTGCAAGACCCGGAACCGCTACATCTGCCAGTTCAGTGAGTGAGCCCTGAACACCCCCTGCCAGCCCTGCCCGCACCCCTGGGTCCTGCCTGGCGTGGAGGGGGACACTGACTGTGTCCCATCCCAGCCCAGGAGCTCAGTGCTCTGTGGCAGCAGGACCCCTGAGCCAGCAGCCCCAGTCACCGGCCAGCGCTGGCTGCTGAGCCCAGGAGGACCTTGGTGCTGTGCCCAAGCCCTGGTCATGGCTCAGGAGGACCCTGCTGTCATGCCAAGGCTGGACCATGGCTCAGGAGGACCCTGCTGCCATGGCCCGGCGCGAACGAAGGTCCAGCAGCCCCAGTCACCGGCCAGCGCTGGCTGCTGAGCCCAGGAGGACCTTGGTGCTGTGCCCAAGCCCTGGTCATGGCTCAGGAGGACCCTGGTGCCATGCCAAGGCTGGACCATGGCTCAGGAGGACCCTGCTGCCATGCCAAGGCTGGACCATGGCTCAGGAGGACCCTGCTGTCATGGACCATGGCTAAGGAAGACCCCTCCCACAGCACCCCACACAGGGGACAGGGGGCTGAGGGGACCCATGGCCCTGGGACCTGGTGAGCAGGGCACATGCTCCCTAAAACAGTGTCTTCTTCTGCCCCTCACCTTCCTCTGTGGCAGCTCCCAGGGCAGGGAGGTGTCCCCACATCCAGCTCCAGCAGCAGCCCCCTCCTGAACTGGCAGCTGGGCTGTGTCCTCCCTGTGGCTCTGGTGCAACCGGGGTCCAGGGGGGCTTCTGGGGGGGCACAGACCTTGGCTCCCAGGATAATCCTGCAGGCCTGGGCAGGAACCCCCAGCCTGGCACCAGGGGTTCTGAGCCATCACCTCGACCTTCACCATCATCACCTGGTCCTTCAGCATCTCCTGGGAGTTCAATAAAGACCCTCTCCCTTGGGAAGTGCCACTTGTCTCCTTTTCCTCCCCACCAGGCTCCCCCTGCCCTGCCCCACACCCTGCTGGTACCTCCAGCTCCATCCCTGGAGCAGGGGCTGGAGGAGCTGGGTCCAGCCAAGCTCCTGGCTCCAGTGCCCAGGGTTGGGAATGGGAGTGGGAATGGGGGTGGGATGGGGAGTGGGAATGGGAATGGGATGGGGAGTGGGAATGGGAATGGGATGGGGAGTGGGAATGGGAATGGAAATAGGGATGGGGATGGGAATGGGATGGGGATGGGAATGGGGAATGGGAATGGGGATGGGGAGTGGGAATGGGAATGGGAATGGGGATGGGAATGGGATGGGAATGGGGAGTGGGAATGGGGATGGGATGGGGAGTGGGAATGGGAATGGAAATAGGGATGGGGATGGGAATGGGATGGGGATGGGAATGGGGAATGGGAATGGGGATGGGGAGTGGGAATGGGAATGGGAATGGGGATGGGAATGGGATGGGAATGGGGAGTGGGAATGGGGATGGGATGGGGAGTGGGAATGGGAATGGAAATAGGGATGGGGATGGGAATGGGATGGGGATGGGAATGGGGAATGGGAATGGGGATGGGGAGTGGGAATGGGAATGGGAATGGGGATGGGAATGGGATGGGAATGGGGAGTGGGAATGGGGATGGGATGGGGAGTGGGAATGGGAATGGAAATAGGGATGGGGATGGGAATGGGGAATGGGAATGGGGATGGGGAGTGGGAATGGGGATGGCAATGGGAATGACAATGGGATGGGGAGTGGGAATGGGGATGGGGTTGGGAATGGGGATGGGATGGGGAGTGGGAATGGGATGGCAATAGGATGGAGAGTGGGAATGAGAATGGGGATGGCAATGGGATGGGGAGTGGGGGTGGCAATGGGATGGGGAATGGGAATAGGGATGAGGACGGGGAATGGGATGGAGATAGGAATGGGGATAGGATGGGAATATGGGAATGGGATGGAGAGGAGGGGGACGAGCTGGGGGTGCAGGAGGGCAGGGACGGAGCATCTGTCGCAGCGCGGGGAGCAGCGGGCG